AATAAGACAAAGTTTCTTAAACGAACAATTTCAATTTGTATTAAAACACAATGCGTTATAATAACAATGCGTCGCACAAGCAATAGTGCCCGCTCAGGCCGGCACTATTGTTTCATAGTACCTGCGACGTTATCCAATAGAATTTCAACGATTTATCATGTGATGCACTATTGCATATTACAGAGATGAGAACGGCTCCGGACGAAATCATCGCGATATATTTCTACTTGCTGGTAGAACAGCGCAATGCGCTATATTGCACACCGCAGGTGCTAATCACTTTCGGGGGGTGTGGGGGTCCTCCCACAGAATTTTTTTTAAAATTAGATGCTTGCAGACGCGTTCTGAGGTACAGAAATTTCAAAAACTAGCTTGTTTATGAACGCCACCATTGCGCGAATAAATAATACATTTGTCGGCCGCGGGATGGCGAGCTCAGACGGTAAAAGAGCATCACTAGATGCGGGACATTTTCCCACTGTCTGCGGGTGGCAGTACACCCCCCCCCCCCCCTTACAGTTTTCTCAACGGATTTGAACGATTTGAAAAATTTATAATCTTCGAAAGCGAAAAACGCGGGAAACCGCGGATCCGCTGGAGATTCTCATCTCTGATAATAAATACATTAGTTATCCCTTCACTCCTCTAATTCCCACGCGCTTGTGCACGAACGCGCAGCTACGCACCTTCAGAGTGAAGCAGAGAGAGAACGGCAGCGTGATACCGATGACGAGATAGGAGAGGATGGTGAGCACCCATCCGCAGCATCCAACTCCCTCGGTCGAAGCTGCAAGAGAGAAGAGACTCAGTATAAACATCTCGTGCTACAGCTCCACACACCAGTGTTCAAGACAGCATGCGTATTTGCGTAAAATACACATTGAAAACACTCATTTACACATATGTACAAACCATGGAGTACAGAAACGCTAGCATTTGCCCCAGTACACATAGAGTACAATTACTGGAGTATTCTTCAACATATGCATATATGCGTATTCTTCACAAACACACACACAAGCAGAGTTGGACAACGTAGAAAGCACAATTTACTTTCAGTACTCACTGGTACTTGGTAGAAATGAAAGTATCAATGACACTGTAGCTCACCACAAAAAAGGACACAAATGAGTGAGTAAGAAGAAGTCAGTTTTAATTGAGCAACCATCGACGTACATTATAGAAACGATTGCCATCTGTATATCGCAATAATAATTTATAAACCAAAATGAATCACAATTTGTGACGGTAGATGGTGCTATATACCCGCTTTGATGTTTCTTAGCGATGGCGATTGAAATAAATAAGTTATGCTGCGTTCCGACATGTTTTGTAAAACTTTGCTCTAATATAGACATTTTATCGGCAGGGTGGAGAGGAAATACCAATTTTGCATTAAAGATATTGTCAATGAAATCTTGTAAAACGAACCAGATGAGTGTGACACCACAGACTGTTTGTGTCTATATAATATGATATATAATTGCCAAACCCTACCCAATTTGCATAATTTTTTTTTAAATATCAAAACCCCTAGCCCTTATTCATTCACATACCAAAAATGAGCAAAATCCGTTGAACCTGAACTGACTAATGGCAATTCCCATTTTTGCCAAAAAATTGCCGTGGCTCGAAAGTACGTCGACTAGCGTGCTTCAAAATAGGACGTTTAATATGGGAGCATAGCAGTAACAACTATACCCAATTTCAAACATGTGGGCCAAACGGTTCCTGAGTTATCGTTGACCATAGCGAAATGCTGACGGACGGACGAACGGACGGACGTATGACGGACGACGACCCATGGCAATAGCTCAGCTTGACGATGTCAAGGTGAGCTAAAAATGATGAGTACCATATTTGGCGAATACTCATGTGGCAAACTACCCGGTGCTCATACATTTGAAAATTGATGAGTAAATACTCATCCGATCCAAAAATTAGGCAATAATAAAACTATTGTTTGTTTGCCCTCACCCGACCGACCCGCCAAAAAGGGGCCGACTCAAAAAATGTTATTGATCTTTTCCATTTTTTTTTTTTTTACAAATTGTATCAGTGTACATTATATAAATCTGTAGGCAATACATTATATTGATGATTATATGTACCAAGCAAAACAAACATTCAACATAAAAGGTATCTCCACACAAGCACACCCGAGCATGTAGACACCATGCTGAATTTGTAAAAAGACCCCCCTCAAAAAAAAGAAGCCTACCTACCTACCCCCACCCCTTTTTTTTACGTGGCCTTATCTGGAGGGCTGCACACCGACGATTTACCTGCTGGCTGCTCTTGGAGTATAGGGCCGCGGCAAGTGTATTGCTACGGCGTCTATAAGAGGGGTTATTCTATGGTGCGAGGGCACTGCCCATATACCTAACGTCCAGATCTAACGATCAATACATATATACATCGGCAACAGCCAACGTCGGCCAGACCCGCTGAGTTATTGACGAGGAGCAAGAGTGTGCTTCTAGTTCTACATGCCACGTACACATACTTCACCCCCCACTCCTCAGCAGAGCAGCAGGCAGTCTGATGCCACCAACGCCCACCAAAGGAACGTGTCCACAGGGTGTTAGCCAGGGGAAAAAATCAGGGAGTCTCACCATATGAGCGAAGCGAGGATGCTGCGGGTGCGAAGCGCCCTGGGGGGGAAGGGCCTTACCTTAAAATGGAGGAAATTTAGTCTGAAATGCCAAAAAGACAGGAATCTGATATGATTTTATATTCTTATAAACATTGTTGTCAGTTATACAACTCAAGGTGTATAATATATATAATTGGGCCGCCCTCTTGCCGTCTCTATCAAATTTCATCCTTCTCATCCAAGAATAGGCCGTCCAAAAGTCCGGTAGACGGGTTTCTGGCTAACACACAGTGTGCCACGTCTAATCGATTATATGTCAACCCTACTGCCCACGAGGCACGATGAAGACTGACACGTACCATCTCCAAAGCGGTCGCTGCGGATCAGCTGGGATTTTCTCAAACATTCCCAGTCACTCCCGACCGCGTTCTGCTGAACATCAATGATGGCGATCGAGGTGGTAGGAACGAGGAGTGGCTGTATTAACACTAGGCCATCCTTAAAAAATTCTATGTTTGCTGTCCCCCGACCCATGATTTTTTTAGTGGGTAGGTAGGTAGGTCATTTTTTTGTGTGTGAGGCATAATAGTTATTTTAAGTCTGTCCTCATGTTTGCCACACATGCTTTGTGTTTCAGTCTTAACTATAAAAAATGTAAAAAAAAAAAAATGGAACCCAAAATATCAAACATAATTTTTTAAGAATGGCCCTACTGTACTAACAGCTGTAGTAGTGCCCAACCACATAGCGGCGTTGACAGACAACAACAGCAGAATCGGAGAGAAACGTCGTCGAAGTCTGCTGTAGCTCGATTAGCCACACTGTTGTGTTTTAGGTATTTTAAGTCATACAAAGCTCAATGTCACAAGAGCCCATTAACTCCATTAGAGCCCATTATAGCCCATTAAAGGATTAATGGGCTCTTGATGTCATGCATTGAAAGGTGCTCACATAGAGAGCATTCTAACGTGGGCGCTCTCAAGAACACTCTCACAGAGGGTGCAGTCAGAGGGGCTGCTCTCACCAAGGGTGCTTGCATAAGCCTCCCACACAGGGTGAGATTCGTGCTGAGCACGGAACATGTTTCGTGCCCAGCACGAATCTCACCACGTGTGGGGTCGATTTATGTGAGTTTTCGGTCTCGCGAGGCAGTAAGGAAAATATCTGCCGTGTTTGATAATTTTGGTCTCGCGAGGCTGAAAACTCAGCGTGTGCGGGGTATGTGAGACTCATGCTCACACTCATTCAGTGGCAGCGCATTTTGATTGGTTCTCACTCAGTGGCAGCGCATTTTGATTGGTTCCGCCAGTTTGATCAGTCACGAGCTACAGTGACACCCTCTCAGAAGACCCGTGCTCATCACGTATCTCACCGTGTGCGCCGGGCGCGAGTTTTTAAAACATAGGATGGCGACTGAAGATTGATAAATTATTCATGACATCACACATGGTTCGCGTTTGGGCAATATACAATGGTTCGCGTTTGGGCAATACGCAGCACTCAGTACTAACTCGCTTTACAACAGTAAGTAAGATACATATACCCTCTAGGATCGTACTTTAAGAATTAGCACAGTTTCGATCGTCGCAGCCCATATCTATAGATCGATATATATATGGCTGCTGCTAAACTGGCATTAGAGACATTTCAGTAACTGTCTGACTGTACTGGGAGCCCGGTACATGCACAAGATGGGGACACATAGGTCAGGCAGGCCATAAATAACCATTAAGCTGTATAACTTAGGTAAGGTTCGTTAACATAACTTAATACATACACATATATAAATCCATATATGCATGTATAGTCTTAACGAAAAACTTTTTGAGCCACTTGCCCTTCAGGCAGCCGCAAGTATTCTGTAAAATGTACATGCCCGAATGACATTCTAGTTGCCCATATATTTTACAGGAATATTTTTGGAATATCGAGTAAAGAAGTGTACACCACACAACTTCTAGATGCCATTCGTTTCCAGTGTTAACAATTCGTGATTTTAAATTAAATACCTTCAGTTAATGGCCAGTTTCATTATATTTCATGCATTTTTAAAAGCAGGCGCCCGTCGGGCAAGTGAGCTTGCAATGTTTACAATTTACATGCCCGATGAGATTTCTACACGTCTCGGGCGTCGGACGCCCAGCTAAATTCAAAGACTGCATTATATGAAACTAACTGGAAGAACTGTATACATAAATAAGAACACCGATATAAAAATACAAATAGGGACACTAATAAATGGCCACATGGAATTATACATTATCTAGGTCAAACCTAGCTCTAGTACTATAGCCTGCGTACAGTTGCCGCAGGCCCTGCAGTGCCTGCGCGCGAATTTTGTTCCCCTACATGTTATATCCATTGGCTGCTTCTGATTGGCTGCTTTGATTTGACCACACCATAGATAGTGTTTGGGATACAATAGATAGTATATATGCCGATTTAGTTTATTGTTAGGGGTAGAGTTCGGGTTCGGGTTCGGGTTCGGGTTAGGAGTTTTGCATCATTCCTTGATATACGGAAATTCTGATGCGGAAGTTATATGCGTATATCAAGCCCAATGGATATAACGTGTAGGGGAAAAAAATTCGCTGCCCGCGCACAGTGCCGCTCCAGTGCCCGGGCAATACAGTTGCCCGCAATGCCCTGCGGCAACTGTACGTGGGCTATAGAACTAGAGCTACCGGTATACTAGAGCTAGGTCAAACCCAACTATAGATGCTGGCAGCAGTATTTCGTATTAATTACACAGATGCAGCAACGCACATAGAAACCAAATCTGAAATGACTCGCGCGTATATATGTGTAACGACGTCACAAGCCCATGTCCCGGTGTCTTCGATCGTGTCATGTTCAGCCATATAAGCAGAGGGGGAGGGGCAACTGGCCAGCGTTTAATCACAGCTAATTACTCGATCGTGCTGATCGAATCGTCGCGATACGGCGTCGATCATTCTTCGTCCAAATTTAATCAGCCGCTACCCTCTCTCGCCATTACTGTACGCGCTTGCCAAACACCTTCATCTCTCACCATACATTCAAATCACGAGATGTATGCAAATGCATCAGCAGGGCCGGATAAACTGGTTTATAGTTGGTACTTATGCAAACTAGCTCGTGTAGTTCATGGAATATGCAAACGTGAGCACAGTCATAAGTAGAACAGGTCTGTACTGTACATATTGCTTATGCTTAGGCTATATATATATATAT